TTTCTGAAGAAGGGTCTAGGCCCAAAAAGTCAGCCTTCCTGCTCCTCTGATGCTGCTTGGCCTGCTGTGTTCATCCAGCTCTACACTTTATTAGCTCAGATTCTCCAGCATCTGCAGTTCCTACTATCTCTGAAGTGTAACCTACTTTTATATTCAATTTGCCCCAATTATTAACATTCATTATTGTATCTGTATTTCAGCTTTTTGCCATTTATGTACTTAGACAACCAGCTCTCTCAATCCGAGCTCTGTAACTTCTCACCATTTAAAATTAAATGCTTTTTAAAAAGAATTCTTCCTAATAAAATACTTAGCATTTTCTATATTATACTTCTCTAATCATACCTTTGCTCACTTACTTAACCCTTCTGTGTTTGTAGCTTCCTTATCCGCTTCCTAATTTACTGCGTCATCATGAGATTTGGCAACCACGCCTTCCAACACTACAGCCAAATCACTATGGACACCATTTGATGTATTGTGCCAACCTGAAGATCCATTGATATGTACTCTGTTAGACAGCCCACCCTCTGTCCTTAGTAATATATGTTATCTTCACACCACAAGTATTCATTTTCCACAATGACCATTGTGGCACTTTATTAAATGCCTTTGAGAAAGTTCAGTACAGTACAACCACAGATTTCTAATTGTGGAGCTGGCAGAAGTGGCAGAGAATGATACATTGGATAGGGAGGTTAATGGGGTGATGTGAGGACAAGGGGATTCTGTCTTAATTTGTTGGGGGTGGGGGGAGGGGATGAGAGGGCAAAGGTGTGGGAAACATAAGAGATGCAGTTGAGGGCATTTTCGATCACTGAAGGTGGTGGTGGGGGGGGGATAAGAGGAGGAAAGAGTTACGGTCCTTGAAAGAGGAGGATATCTGGGATGTGTGGGAGTGGAATGCCCCATCTTAGGAGCAGACGAGGCAAAAAGGAATTGGGAGTAGGGGGAAATCGCATTCTTACAGGAAAGTGGGTGAGAGGAGTGTAGGCTAGGTAGCTGCAGGAGTTGGTGGGCTTGAAAGAGATGTCGGTTTTGAGATGGTCACCAGAGATGGAGACAGAGGTCCAGGAAGGAGAGAGAAGTATTGGAGATGGTCCAGGTGAATTTAAGATTGGGGTAAAAGGTGTTAGTAAGGTGGATGAACTGTTCAAGCTCCTCGTGGGAGCATGAGGCAGCACTGATACAGTCAGTCATCGATGTAGCGGAGGAACAGGTGGGGGATAGGGCCAGTGCAAGTGGAGGAGGTACTGTTCCACGTATCCTACAAAGAGGCAAGCATAGCTTGGGCCCATGTGTGTTCCCATGGCCATCCCCTTAGTCTGTAGGAAGTGTGAGGAGTTGAAGGAGAAGTTGTTAAGGGTAAGGATGAGTTCAGTTAAGCAGATGAGGGTGTTGGTGGAGGGGGACTGGTTGGGCCTGCAGGAGAGGAAGAAACAGAGGGCTTTTAGGCCATCTGCATGGGGAATGAAAAAAAGTGTAAAGGGACTGGATGATCATGGTGAAGATGTGGTTTCGGGGACCAGGGAATTGAAAGTCTTGGAGGAGGTGGAAGGCATGGTTGGTGTCCTGGACATAGGTGGGGAATTCCTGGCCGAGGGGGGAGAAAATAGAGTCAAAGTAAGCGGAGATAAGTTCAATGGGGCAGGAGGAGACAGAGACAGAGACAGAGACAGAGGGTCAGTCAGGTTTGTTGATTTTGGGAAGGATATAGGAACGGGTGCTGTGGGCTGTGGGTGGGAGGTCACAGAGGTGATGAGGTTATGAATAGTTTGAGATGATGTTATAGTGGTCGGGGTGGGGTCATGATCGAGGGGGCGGTAGGAGGTGTCGTCAGAGAGTTGGCACCTGGCCTCGGTGATGTAAAGGTCATTGCGCCATACCACAACTACACCTCCTTTCTCTGAGGGTTTGATAGTGAGGTTAGGGTTGGAGCGGAGGGCTGCACATTCTGTGGGAGAGGAGGTTGGAGTGAGTGAGAGGAGCAGAGAGGTTGAGGCGATCGATGTCGTGACGGCAGTTGGAGATGAAGTTGAGGGAGAGAAGGAGGCCTTGGGGTGGTGTCCAGGAGGATTGGGTGGGTTGCAGGTGGGAGAAGGGGTCGATAGAGGGAGTGTTAGAATTGCGGTTGAAGAAATAGGCGCGGAGGTCGATATCCAAGCATGAATTCATTGATGTGTGGGTGCAAGGGAACGAAGGTGAATCCTTTGCCGAGCACTGACCGTCACCTCCAACCTCATTGTTGCCCAACACTGCACTGCCCATTTGTCTCCTTTCCAAAATCCACAAACCCGACTGCCTGGCCGACACATTTCAGTGGGGCAGGAGCAGGCAGAGACAACATGTCGGCCGGGCAGTCAGGTTTGTGCATCTGCAGTTCGTACTATCGCTAATATATTTGGAGTTTGGTAGGATGCTGCACTTTAGCTACTAAAGAACCCATGTTGCGGGGGGGGGGGGGGGGGGGGAGGGGGAAGTAATATTAGCATGGATACAGGATTGGGATAAGACGGCATTCTGAGGATGGCAACTTTAATTAAGAGTGCGCCACAGGGATCAGTGCTGGGTCCACAATTATTTACTATTTAAATGATTTGTGTAAGGGAAGTGAAATGTATTTTAGCTTAGTTTGCAGATGTCAAAAATAGGTGTGAAGGTTGGGAGTAAAGGCAACAGATTGCCGAGGGATAGAGGCAGGTTAGGTGAGGGGGCTAAAATCTTAGTAGTGGAATATAATAGGCAGATGTGAGGTTGTGCACTTTGGCAGGAAGAATAGAACACCTGAATATTATTTAAATAGAGGAAGACTGCAGAAAAGTTACAGAAATAGGGGGATTTGGGAATCCAGTCATCCATAAATCACAGAATATAGCACAAGTTGAGACAGAGAGATTTATAATTGTTAAGAGAGTCAAGGGTTATGGGGAAGGTGGCAGGAAAGTGGAGTTGAGGATGATCAGATCAGTCATAGCATCATTCAATTTGTTGATTAAAACGGAACAATGTCAAGTTAGTCTCACAATTACCTTTTGAATAACATGACAGCAGCCAATGGCCAACACAAATAAAGTCAAAGATTTGGGAAAGAAAATTCACAGATTCCTCAAAAACCTCCATGTAAAAATGCTGCTCACATCACAGAAGAATTACGTTTCCTTTCAAAAAAAAAGAAAAAGCAGCCAATTGTGGGAATGGAGATTGATGCCAAGGCCAAAAATGTATTTTAAAGGCTGTGCTCTCTGGTAGAATTTTCACCAACACAAAGCACACCAGAAATACTATTGCAATGTTGCATAGACATTTTATTTTACAACAATAAACATGATTAACCACTTCAATATTGAAATATACACTGATGGAATTTACACTGGCATTTAGAAATATTCAAAAGGTTTAAAATACAGCACAATAGCTTTTTACAAAAATATAAACTACAGATTTAACAAACAGCTGATAAATTGCACGGTTTATTAACAGAATATCAAAATGCAATAAACAGAATCCTGAGGATACCACGATCGATTATATGAGGTGCATTAATAGAATATCATAATTGAACTAAAAAGGGTACAAATCTGAAGCTTTATACAAAATGAAAAGTGCCTTTTGAAGAAAAAGTAAAATTATTGCAGTGTTTCGGAAAATGTTTTGGGAAGTTAGATCACCAGTAATACATTTTTCCCAGTAGGATTCAAACATAAAAAAAGTAGACGACAAACTTTCAGGAATCAAAGAAAAACAAGCAACACATGTAGATTGTTCTGTTGTACAAAAGTTCAAGATAATTGAAAATAGTGCAAAATCTCACAAATATTTTTCAGAAAATGTAAACAAAGATTTGTCTTGTTAGTATATAATGGAAAAACCAAAGATGTAAAAAGTATCTTAATTTTAAGTGAACACAAATTAACATACAGTAAAACTAATAGGCTACAATATGCAACCAGCATTATTTAAAATGCAACTCTGCCACTATCAGGTTATCAGGATCAAAAGGCAAGATGTATTTTATTTAATTTTAAAACTGGTAAGTTTAGCTTTGTTTTGCTCACTAAGTTTTGTAAACACTAGTGTGCGACCTATTGTATTATTTTGTGCTAAACAAAAAAAACTTTACTAAAGCTCAGAACAAAATATTACTCAGCGAATAAAAGTAGCATCTTGCAATCAGCCATGTTTTTATGTGCAGTGCCTAATCTGGCTGAATGTATAAACAACATTAATCTGCATCAAGTGACAGCTATTTTAGGCCTTTGATCATTCAAAGTCCAAGTGTCAACTACCAACCAGAATAGCTTCAAAAATATTTAAACAAAGTCACTTATTAAAAATCAGTTTACTTAGCACTTCACAAGATAAGTGTTAACCATATTACCTGTCAGTTAAAAACATTAAACGGTTAATCAAGGGAATAACTTTCCTTAAGAACATTAGTAATCTGCATCTTTATGCATGTCAAACTTCACATTAACAAGAGTGCAGACATCTTTTAAAGTGCCACATTTTGCTGGTTTATTAGTCACCAGTTCCACTGAGGAAAAAAAAGCAAATTTGTGATATCCAATCTGATCAGAGCTCACCTTCTCCCCTAGTATTCCATTAAATAAATTTAAAGCAATAAATTTATTTAATTAAAAGTAGATGCAAAAATGCCTTTAACCTGTATTTACGAGTACAAGACAAAGATGACTGACATGATTTTAACACTTACACAAGGAATCAGATGCACAGCATAAAGTGCAAAATATAGCAATAGGTGACAACTTAGGTTCACTCCTTAATCCAAAGTAATAATGTAATTTGATTTTTGGCAATGGATAAAATTTTTTTTTTTTTTTTTAAAAAGTCTCCTTACACATTAATAAAGATTGGTTTTTAAATATTTTATTTTAAACTGACCACTTTGGAATGCTGGAAAAATCTAGAAATAAACTGAGCATAAATACTAATATTTTTACTGCAATTGAATTAAAATCACAAAATATTGAAATGGAGCTTTTTTCCCCCGATTTGTAATATCAGAGATTTGCCTTTTGGTAGAAATTTCTCCATAGTAACATGGCTTTAAATTAGTTGATTTCTTTCCCAATTGAGATCAGTTACTGAACATCAGCAAAGCATAGCATTCTTAATTTTGATCCTGCACAAATATCTCTGGATGCTCAAATACAAGTTTTATTCACATGCCCATCATCGAGAGAGATTTGCAAGACCTGATCCCACGTCTAAAGGTGACTTCACTTGTCACCATGTCGCCAGTAAATCAGGAGAACCTACATGGTTATAATGGTGATTTCCCTGTTCAGCTGATGGATTTCCTGAGTTTTGTAATTTCACTTCTGAAAATTACATTGATTAGGCTCAATTTTCACTGTGCAGCCAGGTTATGATGATCATAGGCAAACTAACTGCCCCAATGAGAATGCCTAGAATAATCAATCCTAGAGCCTGGTGAAACAAAAGTTAACAAATATAGGAAGAAAATTCAAGAACATGTTTCTACACAGAATATCTATTTCATAAAGATTTTAAAATTCAGTACCCTTGAGATCACTAAACTGAACAGGAGTACAAACCAAGTGTCGGCTTAAAATGTTATTATATAGATGATGTTGATCCACAGATTTGAATTGGGTTAATTGTTAAATGCACAAAGGGGATATGCTGAAATCGTATGCCTGGGGCTAGGATAGGTGGTGCAATAAGAGCTATACAGGTCATCAATTGTGTACATATATTCAATTTCCTTTGAAATGTGACATTCACTGTACACATCTGTGCTGTGTCACTTTGGGTTTCAGCTACCATTTGGAACATTGCCTATGGAGCACAGGAAAGTAGCAGAGTGTGATGGCACTATTCAGTGTTAGTTCACTCATGAGGCTTGTTCTGTTAAAAAGTACTGGGAATAATGGAAAGGAGAATGAAGCAATACATCATTTAAGAAAGGACAAGTGTACTTGAGGTTTCCACATGGCCATGGTAGTTTCAATCTGTTGAGGTCCATGTCTGGTACTTAGAAAGTCTTTATTACATAGGCAAAGAGAAAATTAGGATCACATGGATTATTCTGACCATATTTACTTAATTTGAAAAGGAAACAAGTGCCTGTGGCAGGGAGGACTGTTAAACTGGTTTAACATTTGAAAACATGATTAAATTAAAAAGTGATAAATTAGGAACATAGTACACATCTTTACTCCATTCTAATTGGACAAAAAAAAAGTTAAATTCCACTGATGCAAGCGCCAAAAGGAATGAACTCCAACTTTGCTAGATTAGCAATGACTGGTAGACTGGAATATCTAACACCTTATGATCAAGTAAAGCTAGGGTTTTACCAGAAACCACTACAGTTTTTGATGTAAAGTTAGTTACTTCAAAAAAACTCACCTTAAGTTTCCTTAAGGATTTTAAAGATTCGCTGCTTATTTGCAAGTAAAAGAGTCCAGGGTAGATAAATAGTAAAGCTGTTGAGGTTGTGGAACCTGAGGAAATGGAGAGAATTTTAGACCTTAAAAATGACGAATTACAGTTTGTACATTACAAAATGTAGCATATATAAAATCTATCATAAAAAGGCAAAATAAGTGAATTAAGAATGCAATTTGAATTTTTAATACAGAATTGCAAAGAACACACTGCAGAGGAGATGACCATTAGGCCCAAATGGTTCATGTCTACATTTATGTTTCACACTAGGTCTTCTCCCTCACTTCACCTAATCCTACCAGCACAACTTCGTATCCCATTTCCTTTTGTGTTGATCTACTTTCTTCTGGGAGGTCCTCACGGCTTAAAGTCCAAGGCACAAGACCCAGAATGTCCCCAATATTTTGAGGGGTAGAAGTGGGGGATGGGGGGGCTACCAGGAAAAGAAAGGAAATTAAGTTTAATTAATTAGGAAAACATGGGATAGACTGGAGTTCACCTTTGTAACAAGAGGCTGAGAGAAGACTCAATTGCACTGTACGAAAATGAGCAGTTGATAGGAAGGTGACTTACTGGGGGACTCGCATTTCATTGTTACCGACAAAGCTTGCTTAGGTTGAGTAGGGTGGGGTGCGAGGGCGAGGGGCAAAGGGAGGAGAAAGCAAGTTCAGATTTTCTTCCTGCACAAAAAATACCTCAAGGCAGCTTTAAAATGCGAACCAAAATCAATCATTCAGAACGACAATGATTGACATTGGAACACGAATAGAAACTGTAGTTTATGTAACCAGGAAATTACACTAATTTTTCTGGTCATTAACCAGACACCAAATTGGGGGGAGCTGAAAGCATTGGCTTGACTAATGCTTGTCTTAAAAGATTCTTACATATACTACAATGTCCCTGGCATTCATTATTCACACTTGAAAATCACAGGTGCTCCAACAAACCCTTTCACATGTTTGCTGTGTTACATTTCATAATTGATTTAGGAGGCTAGGAATGCAAAAATTGTTTACATTTTCCCCAGATTCTACTTGCATATAATGTTCATAATTTACTTTCAGCTTGATTAAAGATCAAAATAATAAAAGTTAACTTACCAACTACACCAAAGATATTTTGAATATTTGGCACATAGATTGCCAACAGCACAATCACTGTCTGAATAACAAGTGTGACAACTATATGGCACAACCATGAGAAGGGGCGGCTTGAAAAAAATAGCAGCATAAAAGATTTCCTTGCCTGCAAGGAAAAAAGTATCGATGATGAGCTCTTAGAACTTGACTCAAGCCAAATATTAAATTGGATCATTTAAAGAAGTTGTGCGCTCTTTGGTAGTGGAGCTTAAAACACCAATGTAACAGAAGATAGTCTATATAATGAAAGCAACAAAACATTTTAAATCAAACCCATTTGAAAATAGACTTTCAATTTGTTAATATATATTTCCAAGCTCAAGCAGAGCCATAGTTATAGTAAACTTTAAAATTAATACTGCTATATCTACATTTACTAAAAGACAGATGTTACATTAAAACTAAACCTCCTGACCCATTACTGATCAGTAATCAGATCTCTATTATTTCAGGTGCCTGTCCTGATCATTTTGTAGCCTACATTGGATGATAGTTTGGTCATTGCTTCAATATAAAAGAAATTTAAATTATACAATGATAATCAATACAATATCATTGAATCATTTAGCAGTACAGAAATTGAGTATTGCTAAAGATTTTGCCGATGTTTTCAACTTGTATTCATCAGGGCATGAATAGGAATACTAACAAAGGGAAACAACATTTTATATTATCTGAGAAGAGCTTGTGTTGATTAGTTGGTAACTGGACTTGGATAGGAGATGTTGCCATGGAGAATGCAGCGAGATTACAACTCACATTAACAACCAAGTTTTGTTTAAAATTTAAACAAGGTAAGTTGACTGATTTGGTCATTCCTTAGGGTAGTGCTTCGACCAGGAGGGTGGCTGCACCTACTTTGTTGAGTTGAAATAGGCACAATGTGTGTACACATTTTGTCTGAAAGAACAAGGTCCGTGTATTAATATGCAGATTCTAGTACAGTGCACTTTGCTGTAAGCCATGACTCATTCTTTAGTTTAGTTTAATTCTTAGAACATTCAGGACAAACAAACAAACACTGTCCAATTACAGAATCATATTTAAAAGTTGGATGTTGCTTGGAGTTTTGCAAGTGAAGGCTGGTTGGATACACTCAGTACCTTATCTGTTGTGAACGTTCGAAAGGGAAATTGAATACAATCTGCCTGTCCTTGCAACACAAGGCTTCTATGTCCAGCACAGGAATTCACTCGATAGATCGAATAACTTGTTGGCGGACAGCACCAATTAGGGGCAACCACCATTTGTGCTGCTGCTGAAAGTAGCATCAGTCACTCAACCCTCTGAGAAACCTTAACATTCCAGGATAATCACAGGTAGACTGGGCACTTTTCAGGACTGAAGTGGCCGCCTTCGGCCATTTGAGGCTTTTTACAATTACAGAGCAAAAAAGTGTACCTTGATTTCTCAGAATGATGACATACTGTAATTTAAACATCAAGTTTGCGAAGTGTAGCAATGGCTCAGATCCTATTTACAAGGTCACTGATAAGACCAAAGTTATAGTAAATGGTATTATATGAATCCAATCAACTTTGCTAATTTTGGTCCACTTTCATCCCACAAATAGGGATTAGTATTTGTCAAGTTTGAGCTTCTTTCAGCTATCACACTGCAAACCACTAATGATGCAAAATCCTTTTGAAGTGTGCTTAAGTGATCCAGCACAGAGATAATTAGCATCCTATCAGATTTTCATATACAACACGGCAATGTTGTAAGCCAGGGGCCAACTGGAACATACAGGTCTGTAAACCTGACCAAGGCAGATACGTGAATAGTCATCCCTAACAGGCTCAATTATAATCAGCAAATACACAGCATTCTTAATTGGTCCAAGTCGTATCCATTGGCTCTGTGGCTTAGATCTTGGACAGACTTGCTGAAAACCAAAGGCAAAAAAACAGGTCAAGTTTTTGCAAGAGCAATGAGATGTCATGTGATATATAGCAAGCATACACTGCTTACCACAGTAGTTTCTTTTATTTGGATTACAATGCCAGTTTAGGATGACCTGCTGCCCAGTTGGTTCCTCAAATTGATCCAGAAAACCATCCCATACACACTTCAGGAATTCCTCCTCCATGCTCTACCCATACAGATTCCACCTCATTGGAACCAACATCCTTCACCATCACATTAATTGCTTTTTAACCAGCAGTGCTGGTTGTGTGTCTATCCTTCTTTAAAA